TGACCCCCCCCAATGAACACACCAGTGAGGGAGGGCGAGACGATCGAGGGGTCCCGTACCATGCGGAATCGACCCTATCCGGTGCTCAAGTGCTCAAGTGAACGGAGCGGCGGCAGGAGGAGGAGCAGCTCGCTGTTGAGCGCTTTGGAGCCTGGGACCCCATGCCACTGCGACCGGCGTGCCCGGGAACAGAGATCGCGCGCGCGCCGCCACTCACGACGCGCGCGCGATCTTCGCGGAGTCGGGTCCCCAGAGGGAAGCGGTCTTCTCGGCCGACGTCCAGCGGCGCGCAAGGAAGCAGGCGCAGCGGTGCACCGCGCCGCGTTGATTCGCGACCACCGTCGGCCGCGGACGGCGGCGGCGTGCAGATCGCAGTCAGCAGTCCTCCTCCGGGAATGTACGAATTTAAGTTTTTTTGTTTTTCTCGTTAGTAAATCCGGCAAATCCAAGTAAACCCGGCAAATCCCGCCGCCTATTACTGATATCTGAGAGAGTGGCTTGTAAACGCATATATGCAGCCCGCGAGGCAGGTTGCGTCGCGCGGGTTCGCACAGCTGCAGGCCATCGGCCATGTTCCCACCCGAATGCCTCGGCATTGTGAACCGCAGCATCCCCGGCGTCACGTACGACACCATGGCTGGATGGTGTGCCGAGCATCACTGGGCGGGTGCGTGCTTCTGCCCCACGAATACCCCTGACGCACCAAATCGACAGCACCTTTCCGTCCATTTATCTTGTGGCCTTATCCCCCTCAGGTGTGCCATGCGCGGGCGACGCAAACTGCGAAGTCATCACACTGAGCCCCATTCGCCGGCACAAGCGTTCGGACGTCCCTTCGGTGCAGCCCTTGGTACAGCCACGTCGCTGGGACCCACGCGACAGCATGTGTTTTCGAGCACCGATCCATCCTCCTCTGCCAGCCGTCACGTCTTCGTTGACTGCGCCGCCGCCAGAGTGGCGCGGTAAAATATTGCGCGTGCGGGCGTGGGTACGCGACGGTTTTTGGGTGCGAGCGCAGATGGTCCTGAAGCAGGCGCTTTGGGCAACGGTGCGAGGGATCCCGTTCTTTGTCGACTTGCACGGAGGAGAAAACGTCACCTGTGGCAGCACAAGGGGGACGGCACGCGCGTGCGACGCCTACGCGGGCCCCCTCATCAACTCGGATGGATGGTCCAGCTACTTTGAGCCGCTTACGAAGCCTCGACTGGTGTGTGTCGTCGTGGTTTCGTATCAAGAATACTCACTCACTCACACTTGTACCTCAACGGTCGGTGTTGGCACTGGGGTCCCCTTCGGGTATATCGTGACAGCTGATGGCGGGATTACCACTGGTGTTTCGTCCTCCTCGGAGTCGTCTTCCCCGGCTTCCTCTCGTTCGGCTCTACGTTCATTACGTTCATCGTGGCTCACCCTCCATGCCGTGAACAGGCGCCCTATCCATCCTATGCTCTTCTCTCGCTCCTCTGCCCGCGCCTTGGTCTTGTCGTTGTTTCGCACCCATGTCTGTATGGCAATCGAAGCTGCCTTCCCCACTACCTGTAGTTCCCTCGTCACCTCTCCTGCAAGCTCCCCTCTCTTTCTTTCGGGTATGGAGTCTGACAGTGCTGGCAGCGTGCAGGCAATCACGGGCGCTATTTTGTCGTACTCCTCTTCGACGAGCGCTCCAAATCTAGACCCCATTGCCTTTAAGGAGGTTTTGCTCTCGCGCGTCTCAAGGATGTCGCCGTGTCTTTTGATTCAGGCGCCTCCCGTTCGACTCCTTGCTGTCGCCCTCGCCGTGTGTTTGTCAAGCTTCCGCATGAAGTAACGCGCCTCTTCCTTATTTCCAGCGCAGCTGCCACTCAGTACGTGCGCCAACGACGCCTGTGGCGGCTCACTGTCTTCTTGTGTCCAGTCGTCCCAGCGTCTCTCCGTTCGGCTCCGATTCTCCTCCTTGGACCTTGCCTCACACGCGCCTCTTTTGCGGCCGCATCCCTAGCCGCCTTGCACGCTCTGCATCCCCAAAACGCACTCCTCGTGGCGGGGCCCCTCATTCCCCGTTTCTTTTCCCCCTGGCGTGCTCCCGTCACTCCCTTGGGCGGACTGTTTTGCTGTGAGAGCCACAGCATGAATTTCTTTTTGGCGTGGTGGCTTGCCTCCTCTTTGTCGTCGGCCAGCTGAAAACAGGCGACCCAGAGACGATGCCTGCTGGCGGCTGCCTGTTCGTGATCGTCGGCACCGACGACAAGCCGATCTACCAAGCCGAGTTCCCCGAGGCGCGGTCGCAGCGGGTGCGCAGGCGCCGGAGCGGAGGCTCCGCCACCCAGTCGTGCTGAGCGCGGCTGCCGCCCTCCCGCCTCCCATGCGCGCAGCGCGAGGACACGCTGCACCTGAATCAGCTCACCGTGATCCACGCGGCGCTAGACATGGTCGACGAGCTCGTCTGGGGCACGCAGGCCATGTACCTCAAGCAGGTCGACCGGTTCAATGACTTTTACGTTTCTGCATTCGTGACTGCGAGCCATGCGCGCTTCATGCTGCTGCACGACGCGAGGAACGAGGACGGCGTGAAGCAGTTCTTCACCGACGCGTACGAGGCGTACGTTCGCCTGCTCATGAACCCGTTCTTCGACAGCGGCGCAAAGGTTCCGGCGAGCTTTGACCAGCGAATACGTCTGCTTGGGAAGAAACACTTCTGAGCCACAGTGTCTCCGATCGCGGCCACAAAAGAAATCCATCCGCACCTCTTGAAGTTTTTTCCAAACAATCCCCGCCCCGCCCGCCGCCGCGGCGCCGGCCGGGCGTTCCGCTTCACCCCCGCCCGGCTGCCGGCTTCACCACCCACCCCCGCGCACATTCTCGGTGGGCACGGTGCACAGTGTGCACAGCGACGCCACAGTCGGGCGGCGCGCGGGCTCGGGGCGTGGGCTCTATCGTCTATGTGCCCCCGCGCTGTTTCGCGCTGAGCACACTTG